TAAGCACTGTATTGCTACCATCATCTAGGCAGTTTTATTTCGATACAAATGGTTTCCATTCTAACTTTTGTTGCTATTACCCTTCTTATCATAGGGGAGGGCAAGGAATGGGAAAACAAAATATGGGAAAACATAAGGAGAAAGGAACTACTATGCATTAACTAAACAATCCACAATTATGACATCAGAAGAGATCTTAAAATTTTCTACTGATTTGAATAATAATATAGAAATACAAGATGCAATCAATTAGAAAAACAGAGAAAGGCACTACAATAATTTAAATTGAACATGAAGGTTATCTTAAATATGTTCAATTAAAAATAAATCACAGTGTGTCAGATAGAGTTTATTCCCAGATAAGCAGCATAGAAGTGTCACCCACATGTTTAAAACAGGAACTAGTCTTGAATCTAATCTAGCAAATTTCTTTTTCAAGAAGTATGATGGTTAAATATTTTTGAAACTATTCTAACTTTCTCAGTCCCTACAAATTGACTTTGTCTTTGGAATTTGTTCTTTCCCTTATGATGTCTGATGTGTTAAAAGAAAGTCTAACAAAACAAACATGGATGTTACTTGGAATTTTGTTCAAGTTCCATGTACTTAAGAGAAAGAGACTTCATCAAATTCAGTTTTTACAGTTAATTTCTCAGTTGCTTAAATATTCCAAGTAGTTAATATATACATGGAAGAAGTAATCAGCTAGCCCACCTATCCATCTATTCTAAGACAGTAACCTGACCTCTTGTGCTCTCCCTTCTGTAGCTAAGACTTCGCAGTCTTGCATGAGCTCATGGAAGAATGCCAATTCATCAGTTTCTGGGGACAGCCAACGGAGGACAGAGATGACAATTGCATCATCATCATCAAAATCCCATCCCTTTTCATACCTGTGTGGTATTGATGAACCTAACAAGAAAGATTTGGTACATTCAAAACTGCCCCACCAACTTCCCTTTTTTATTTTAACTGAACACGCCTGTGCTTTATTGTTTGTTATGGCCTAGAGGTCTAGAGAAGTTGCTGTCCCTTGATCTACTTGAAAGAATCACATTCCTTCCCCAAACAAACTCAGGAGAGTTTACATGCAATTTCCTTCCTTTGACTGTAATTTTGTGCACATTTGTTTCAGATTAGAACTTACTATATTTGTAGACTTTTTTTTTCTTACTTTATTGTTCTAAATTGAGCATACCAAATCCATTTAAAATTTAGTTTTTCATTAATGTAGCTTTCATTCTTATTGAATTAACTATTACTGAACAGATGGTTATTGTGGCTTTGTCACCCATCTTTGAAGTAGAACGGAGTATGTTTAATTTGAATTGTGTGCTTCTACTAAATAAATGCATTTATCATTTCTTTATCATTTAAATCACGTAATGCCACTTCTTGGGTTCCAATACCTCTCAGACAGAGTCCAAAAACTCTATTTCCATTTCCTTAATTATTTTCAAGAAAAATGTTTGGTGTTTATCAAATTCCAGGGAGAAAACATTTTTCTATATTTTAAGAAGAAATATTTGAGATATGAGGCAATTTCTTGCCAGAAATCAGTGGAGAAGCTGGCAGGAAATTGCAAGTCCTAGGACTGCAGGCAGGTTGGTGTCGCTGCCAGAGAGAAGAGGGTTCAAAGGTAAGCGTGAAAGGCATTGTGTGGGTCAGGGAAGGTGTGCAGGATGCACAATTAGCTAGCACAGCATGATCACAGAGGAGCTGAGGGACAATGTGCTGTTGGGGGAGACTTATCCCCAGTGATTTCCAAATTTCCCTGCTGGCTTTCCCTTTGACTTTCTGGATGTTTGTAAATCCACTTTCTATAACTATTATGGGTAAAGTAGTCATTATGGCTTATTTACTGTCAGTTTTTTTCCATTAGTCCTCTTTTTTTCACAGAGGCAAAAAGAACATTTAATTATATTATATTATAATACTTGGGCCTTCTTTCTCTTCCTCTCTCCTGTTAAAAATAGCTCTGTTGTCACTATCAAGTCTTTAATACGGCATTTATTTGTACTTTTCTTTTGCTTACTTTTTTCAGTGTAAGCAAAACAGAATTTAAAACTTATGAAAGGATTCACAATATAGTTGAATGCAAACTGTTGATCAAGGTTTAGGGAAGCAAAACAAAACTGAATTGTGATAAATAATCCTGATCTGTTTGATTCAGAAAAGCAAGCTCTCTTCCTCAAGCCCATTCCAAAGAAGGCAGGGAACAAAACTAAGGTTAAATCAATTTAATATAATTTTCAAACCAAATCAATGATTCATCTTTCTGATGCTTCTCTTCCGTCGAATGTTAGCTGTACATTGGCAGGGCCCTGTTCCTTTTATATCCTGCAAACATAGTAATGAAGTACATATAACAACAGTCCAATCTGACACAATGAAAGTCCTTACAGTGGATTCAATGAAAATTTATCTTAAATTACCATTGGCTTCTTTCTGTGTCCTATCAAGATAACTTTGATTTCTATACAGTTAGAATCTTCATGTGGCAAGTTTCCATCATATGAATTTACCTCCTATGAAAACAACTTGAGAAAAAGTGACTGTACCCCAAAATGTTCTGTGTGGGGTGAGTGTATGGAAAAAACATATATGGTAACATAGTATTTTTCAGACTATAGTATATATAATTTCTCATACTGATTCTGATTCTCACTGAAAGTCACACTGGAAGGTTTTCAACTTATAGAAGTGACTTTGAATTCTTGCCCTAATATGAATATTTTCTCACAACGAAGAACCATTGATAAATATGTAAAGTCTACAGATGAAGCTGAGTTTTTGGCTCTTGTAGTGAAATTTAATTTCACATTTGCTTTTTATTCATTATAGCATAAAATGTTTTTGGAGCCTTACTTATTGTTTTTTATTATTGTAAGTAGTCTTGTATGTCATCTTGGTACCAAAATAGGGCAAAAACATAATAAAATCAAAAAGAGACAGAAAGTTATTTAGAAGAAAATCTTCCTTAATCCAATAAGTACCACACCATGTAAATATGAATAGGTCTGAGCCTCAAATGGCAAAGAAAAGCATTCATGGGCAAATAAAAGATTCCAGGAAAGCAAGATGGGTTTGAAGAAAAAGGTGCTTAATCAGTACATACCCAAATGCACACTCTGAAAATTATGTTTCATTGTGCTAATCTGGAAGAATATGATTGGTTGTATGGATAAAACTATTTTCTTGGCCACTGGGTTGGAGAATTTATTCTATTTTGAGAGCTGGTGCTAGCTAAAGCTTTATTTCAATGCAGATTAAAATCAGCTGGTTTCTTATACCAGCCAAAAACATTTTTTTATCCACAAAGGTCCAATGTTTCTCCTAATGAAATAGCCTAGGAATAACATCAGATCTCTGCATGCCGCTTTCCACTTCCTGTAATTAAGTCAATCTCATTACTTGAGATTTTTGTGATGGGAAGTCCCTAAGCCCCCATAGTGACAGCAACAGATGGCTCAGGGGGCCTTCTATTTTACTAACAGCAATCTCGTTTTTTACCTGCAAACTTCAAAATCTGGGTTGTTTAACTTTCACAGGGCCTACCTTTAAAATAGCCTAATGAAACTACACTAGACTATTCCTTTCTGTATGTCCAGTTCCCTTTTTATTTCAGAGATCTCAGCTGTGATTGACAGTACAATTCATTGCAAACCTTATCTAGCTGTTGTTTGGCACTGATTTCCAACCCACATGTTTTATAGGCACAAAAGCTTGCCTTATACATTTGATGCTACAATAGTATTATTTAAGGTATCCCCAAGGGTAGAATTTAAATGACACATAAAAATAATAATTTGATGTAGCCAATTTCAGATTCCAATTCTGAAATTCTAGTCCAAATTGCCCATTGGTCTAACCTTTTCTTTAAAGAACAAGATGGTAGAAAAATGTTCGAATAAGCCTGACTTAGATAACTACGTTTATTTTTCATATTTAACCACCCAAGCATCTTTTTCTATTTTTCAAGTTGAAAAACACACCTGCTGCGATTCCATTTCCTTTGAGCATTTTCTATTAGCCACCCCTCCCAGATGTTTGTTCCTATGCATCACACCATTTATTTTGAAAGAAAGACTAAAGTAGCAAGCTCCTTTCTAATTGCCGGCAGTTTAATTTAAACCCCCAAAGCCATCCCTTAATTCAATCTGACGGGTGTTTGTGTTAACACCAAAAAAAATCCAATTAGCGTGGAAAACGCAGCGTCGGATCACATATATATATTTTTCCACGAAAGACATCAATAATAAAGGCTGATCACATGGCAGTTGCTTGATGCACTCTTATAAACAAGGAGGCCTCTCGATGCGTAAGCATAGGTATCTCTAAGCATTCTGGGATATCGCTCGTAAAATCCTTCTTCCCGAGGGGGCTAGCAGGGCCCGCTTTCCCGGCAGAATGACAGCCGCACCTGCTGGTGCCCCCTCCTTCCTCTCGCTCCCCCCTCAGCCGGGGTCTCTTAAGAGCCTGTTGCAGAAAGGCTTGAATCGGGGCAGCCTCTGCCGCTCGGGCTGAGCCGCCCTGCAGCAGCCAAGCTGTCACCGTCAGCTCTTGCAGGCAGCCGCCCTCGCACCCGTCAACCCACCCAAGGCCGCCCTAGCCTAGCGATCGGAAGGGTTACGGAGGAGGCCAGAAGCGGATGAATGAAAGGTGGTGGGCGGCGGAGGAGCCGAGGGAAGAGTCTCGGTTCCAGCACCCGCTTCCTCAAAAGCTACACCTGCGGCTTTGCCTCTCGCTGTAGCGTTTCTCCCCGCTTCCCTTCACGCATCTGCCCCTTCCCCCGCTTCCAGCCCGGTGGCCAGCAGGTCTGCCCGTCTTTCATTCACCCGAAGAGCAGCCCCCGCTCGCTCGCTCGCTCGCCGCCGCCGCCGCCGGAGCGGCAATATCGGGGTCCCCGCCTCGTGCTCGATGGTGGCTCTCCAAGCCCACCGCAAGAAGAAGCCGCGAGGTTCCCGGGGATACAAATAGCGAAGAGTCCCGTTACTTAC